TAATTTGATTCAAATGATTCTTTAATTTTTGAAAGAAGAAACAAATCCTTAAAAAATTGCCTTACTAACCCAACACATCTATTTATAGTAATCTTTAGCTGTATATAAAAATATCTTGTTTAAAATTTCATAATTAGTTAATTTACAAAGAAATGTTAAACAATATTCTGAGACAATGCTGAAATAATATGAAATTGTTTTAAAGAAAAGTATTTAATGAAATTGGAATTATGTAAATTTCGTGGTCTTGGATAATTTTGGCCAAATTTGTAATTCTGGCCGAAATTAACATCACGTGACACCGGAAAATAGTTTAGCCACCGGCAAAAAATTTTTTATCGGCTGGCATGAAAATTTAATGTTACACAATTTGTAATTCTGGCCGGCGTTATGAATTCTGGCCAGAATTATTGCCGATCATTTGTAAATCCAATCCGGTTTCCGGTTTCTATCCGGATTATCTGATCCGGATTCAAAATCCGGGTCAATCCGGATATAATCCAGATTTTTTTTTTGTGTAATCCGGATGACGGTTTTCATCCGGGTCGAAGCACTAGGTTCAATTTTCAGGTGGGCTTTCGAAGTACAGAAACTCCAAAAATTTGTAAATACAAATACTTTGGAGTTTATTTTATTTTTTTTTAATATGAATGGTTACTAACCGTTCTTTTTTTTTCTTTTTTTTTAAGTTCGGCCATTTGGGTGACTTCTGAAGAATAGAAAAAACCAAGTTTTGTAAGTTCAGAACTTGGTTTATTTTTTTTTAATATTATGAATAGTTATAAGGTTGCTTGCCGAAACCTAGGGGTTTAGGCAAAATGGCGTTTCACCGAAAAGTGAAATTCTGCTGAAACTATATTAAAGTTATATTAAAAAACTGGCGAAACTTTGGAAAAAAGCGAAACTGCCGAAACTTATTATAAATGCCAAAACTGCTAAAACTCTGCCGAAACTATAATAAATCTATAGTAAAATTTTGACAAAACTAATCGTAGGATTTTGAAGAGGTTTAGACAAGCAACCTTAAATAGTTATTAATTGTTCTTTTTCTTTTATTTTTTATAGGTTCGGCGTCTCAAGTAGGGCTTCCAAATTCTGAAGAACGAAAAAAAGTATATACGAATCTTAGTTTTAATTTTTTTGTTTTTTAATTTTATTAATGAATGGTTACTAATAACTGTTCCTTTCTTTATTTTTTAGGTTTGGATAGGCTTTCAAAGAATGAAAATCTAAAGATAAAGATTCGTAAGTACAAATCTTTATAATTTGTTTTTTGTTTTTTTTATTATTTTAGAATGGTTACTAATAACCAGTGTTGGGAAATGACCAGGTCATATTGCAATTTCTGGATAACCTTCGGTTATGGGGTCATATGACCATTGGTCATAGGTCATTAGGTTATAACAGTTACTGGAAATGTCACAAAAAAAGAAAGCAAATTTTTTTCACTAAAGTTAATAAAAAAAATTTTGTGGTACAATATTCTCTTTAAGTATGCAATATATGTATATAATTAAAGTTGGCCAAAATTAATTAAATTAGGATAAATTTGCAAATCAATAATTCATAATGCTGGCCTAAATTTAGTTAAAATGAAAAAATTTAGGTTATATACTACATCATATTTATACAACATAATCAGTTTAATTAAAAAAAAATTTTAAGCTTATTGACCACTTCTACAATTTTATTAAAAAAATATTCACATAATCTTTATTATTCAACTTGAATTTTTATTTAAAGTTAATGTATTTTTTATATTAAAAATAAAAAAAATAAAAGATCGAAAATTAGTACTATTACGAACAATGACAATTGCACCATTAATATTAATCAAAAATTCATAAAATTTAAAATACAAATATTTTCGACATTGCCAAACATTTTTTACTTAATTTACAAAGTCGATTTACTTAGAGCAAAAGTGCTGAAATTATGCTCTAAAGTTTCAGATCAGGTGTATAAAACATAAATACTAATTACGCCATAAGCGTCAATCAAAAATTCATAATAATTAAGATGTGAGTAGATTCGACAATGCTGAACAATTTTTACTTAATTTATTAAGACGATTTACTTAGATTAAAAGTGCCAAAAATACGCTCTGAAGTTGTTAATCAGGTGTAAAAAAATTTAAAGATCAAAAATTAGTACTGTTACGAATAATGACAGTTGCGTTATGGATATTAACTAAAAATTCATGAAAATTAAAATACAAGTATT